ATACGGAGTGAGGCGAGGTGGAAATAAATAAAAAAAAAAGGTAAGAGTAAGATGAACCACCTATTGGCTGGCTTAATCTTCATCAATCAATCGGATAGATGAAAGGTAAGAATGGGGTGAAAGTAAGAATGATAGAAAAGGGAGTTAAAGGGGGTAAGTTTAAGTAAGATCACGTTTGTTAAAAAGGTTGGAATATTTATTCCAACCAACGCATCATGTTGTTGGTGTGTGGTGTGTGTAAGACGTTACACTTTTTTTGTGTTCTTTTCGTCTACCATTCAGTGACAGTCCTTGTCTTCTTTCACTTGGAAGGAATACAAGGACAAGGATCTGGGATAGGACAGAAATCGAGCCCAACCACTTGAATAGTCGGGGAACGAACAACGACCTTGAAGAAACGAAGCCGTCGCTGTACCCACCAGTCAAAGTGGTGAGGGAAGCGTAGTCTGGTGTAAGAAGTGGAAGCAGCGCAAGTGTCAGGCGACAAGCAGGGTGTGCCAACGGCAGGCGTCAAGAGGTAGACGAGCCCGTTCCGTTCGCCAGAAACGGCCAGCGGTGGCAAGAGACATCACGTGACATCCGACCACGCTCATTGGCCTGCCAACATCACGCCACGTGCTGCTGGCGTCAATAAAGGGACAATAGACGCGCTCTCAAGTGTTTCACACAAATATTTCCTTTATAATGGACATTTTCCTCAAAACATTATTGTATCCCAGGCACGTTCATTTTTATCGCATCAAACTATAAATAGTTCAGTTTTAATAACGGAGTGGAAATTGAAACGAGGGATTCAAATCTGGGTCTAGTCTCGGTTGTACAAAACCTTCACGTCTATCAGAGCCATGCATAGAATTCTAATTTTTTTTAGCATGCTTTGGTACATTTGCATTTATGCAGTTACCGTAGACTTATGTGAAGCGTTACTATAGCATTATACTAGACTAGCTGTGTGATGCTAAGATATCCCCGTCTCGCAAGATGGTTACTGTGCTTAGTCATACAGGAGCGTGCAATCAGTAGCTGGCACTTGCAAACTTTGGCTGCAGGATGAGGATACATTGCATGGGCACGAGGGTGAAGAAATTACAGTACAACGTTTTAGGAAACTCATACCGAGATGATGATGATTTAGATTGAGCTACTCAGAACGAAGTGTCCATGTAGCACGGGCTATGGTGAGCCCGTAACATACCGAGAAGTTTAAAGGGTCCAATGATGTAAAGTGAATGATCATTCCAAGTATAAACTGCTCACAGTTTATACATGGAATACGCAGGGTTAGAATCGTCCCCTTGCAGTCATCTGCCTCGAGTAATGGTAACCCTATCTTAATCCTGGCAACCACCAAAGTCGTACTGTCTGGTAGAAGTTTTGTTCTACCCATATACCTAGGTATCAAATCAATACTAAGCATAACTTTTTACACTGGTGTTTTCAGGCCTTTAGGAGCTTGTAATTTCTTTATCAAACATGAATGTTATCAATAATCAATATATTTGTGTACAGTATACGATATGTTAACTAATCTGACGTCCATAAACTTTTTCCCAATGTCTCCGTTGCTAATCTGGGTTCTTGGTTCTCATGTCCTCCCCTTTGTTAGTGTACCACCTATTCCAAATAATGTCCTTGTCTACCCTAGCAATTTTCCTGGGGAATGTGTATGTTGTAATCATACCTCCCTAAACTTTTCTGCCTAACAGTGATGTGGTTCAATCCCTTTAGTCTTTCCTTATACCTCATCCATCTAGAAACATGCGTATCATGTTGGTAACCAATTTCAAAAATGTAAAATTAAGTTGTAGGGGATAAAGGGGACCTATATGACAACGATGTTAACCAAATAGTCAAGTCTATTAACTCGCTTTTCAATTCTTCCTTGCGCAGAACAGCAAGTTAGATTCATACTAGACTAACTCATATACTTCAGTTACAACAGTATCAAGAATGGCAGGAAGATACACCATCTTTCCTGGCACTCAAGGATTGGAGTACGACCTAAATGTGTCTATAGTGCACGGCTTGCACCCAAGTGGCAGGTAATGTCTGAGCAGGAATGCAAGATTAAAAAAAAAAAGTTTATATTCCTAAGACGAGTTTCAATTTGTTTTATAATACAAACTGTAGTTTGTAACTGCCCTTGTATTGACAAATCTCTATATAAAAAAATCGATAATGCTTTTAACAATCAGCTGATTGGCCTGACAACAATTGTGGTAAATTTAATGGAAGCATTGATAGCAACCTAGAATAAAAAAATCTGGTGAATATTTTAACAAAAATCAACATTGATTTACTTGTAGGCATTCTTCCCTTGAATTTTTAGTTTTATATTATAAAAATGTTTCAAAACAGTAGATAGTGAGGTAAAAAATATAATCTTGTCCATAACAAGGCTTTCAAAACTGTTTTATTTGATTAAATTTAATGTCTTTAAGTACTGTAAATAGACCAGCAGACCTATAATACTATTCACAATTACACCTGTGAAGGATGTTGAACTAAGCTACCTACCCACTACTAACAATGAACCTCTCTTCTATACCCTGCAGACATATCTCCCAGTAGCGTTATCAAATACACCAATATCAACCAGCTCTACATGGTGAAGTATCGTCGATTAGTACTTTAAACCAAAATGTATACGTTCTAAATAAAACAAATAAGACTATAGTAGAATATGAAGCATTGGTAATAATGCAAGTAATGTTATTTTTCAATTGTATCTTGTCCTTATTAGGCCCAAAATAGATATGTAGTTAAATTTGGGGGACCGTACGACAGAATGAGCACAGCCTAGCCCAAATGCTACTAACTGGCTGCACTGTAATATAACGTTGGTTGGAGAGTTCTAGTTCATGATCACAGCATTGAGATATTCGCAACTTTCACAACCTCCCATAGGTAGCTTTATCCCAACCTAATTCTGACACTACTATCACATTGTCTGGAGTACTTTGTGCAACCCAATGTACAAGTCACCGGATGATGCTTTCGTGCCACTGTGGTATCTAAAAATCAAACATTTAATGTTTAGAACAATAGGTCTATAGTTTTAAAGAGGCGAGATACATAGGTCTAGTTCAATTTCATTTATAGATAAAGCATGCAACAAAGAAAATTAATAGTTTGAATATGATGATAAGCCATATACACACATACAAATAAGAGCAAGCCTTTTATTCTAAGCACCAAGCAGATTATTTTGTTATAACTTTTACCAGTTACTCTTGCATATGAGGTTCTGAAGCGTCTGAAAAACAGACAACCACAGAAAGTTGCTCTTCTGGCGTTTTTAGTGTACTCCTAGCTTATAATTAGGCTATAGTATTGCTCAGTTGTTAGTGAAGTTTAGCCTGACAAAAAATATACTACTGATGGTTCGATTGAGCCATCCATATAAAGTTAATGCTCACATAAGAACAAGATTCTGATAATGGTATGAAACATGTTGATAATGAATAACAAATACTGTATGCATTTCAAAGGCGTGTTAAATTGTACAAGGTTGAAAACATGTTTACTCAATCAGCATACGAAGTGTGGTGTTAAAAGTGCTGTACTTGCTGGTCAATTGAAAGCACAAAATATACATCTGAGCAATTCTGGTGACCAGCAATGTCAGCATAGGCTGTAGGTGAGCAAGCTGAAGTGTTAGGATGTGTAAGGGTATTTTGAACCACATACTGTATGAGCTTTGATACACGATTGATGCCTTGCCAAAAGGTTTCACAATTCTTTGCACAACTGTTAGTTCCATTAAATAAAGCATTGAGAAATTTATTGAATCAGCTATTTTGTTTATTGTACACAGAGAACCAACAACCAAATCAATGTTTTCCTTTTTTTCTTGCTTAAATGGGTTGATATGAAACATTGTTTAGAATTCAATCAATGATAGCTTCAGTCCCTTAGGGTATATTAAACCATCTATGTTAATAAATTTCAGACATTTTTATACTTGTCATACCTCTTATCATAACTTCAATGCAGTTAACTGATCATTCTAAGTTTAATGTTTTAAAAGAATTTATGTAATCCTGAAGTATCTTTTTTGCATTAGCTGATATAAATTGTGGTATTAGGCCTTGGTTTTGTATTAATCATCACTTCCAAATAAAAACAATGACCAATACCCACATTCAGTTTATATAATATTTTGCCCTAACTTATACATTTACATTCTATAGTTTGAAGACGAGAACAGCATCAGTATGGAGGTAGAAAAAATAATAAATAATCGTGTGTGAACAGCATTGCATAATCTCAAATTAACAGGGAAGTTATGCACAGTACAGGACTGGCGCCCATGCATGGTACTATGATCAATCTAGTGGATTTCCTCAGCTTAGTTCCTTCAAGCTGGATCTTACTAGCCCTGTAGCCAACTACACACACACACACACACACACTTAAGATAATTGATAAAGTGCTCAAAAAACGAATATACCATAATATACACAAGCATTTATAAAGCATTTCAGAGTCCTACTGGCGTGGCAAAATAATAACTCTCGAACTCTCATTGTCTACCAAGGTAAAGCCACCATTTCTTGGCAATTAAAGAACTCCAAATTCATACGTGCTTGCCAACAACTGTATGACGAACACTACTTGAACAGCGACAAGAACATCTAACCAAAATTACAACATTTAAATGTCCCCCCATTCCAAGCAACATTAGCAAGAGTCGATTTTAGACACAGTCTAAACAAAGGCAAGGACAGAAGCGAACAACAGTATTTTATATACCCCCCCACACACTGCTTGGTATTCCCAGATCTGGTGCAGCAACGTGGGAAAAGTGGGTCTATGTCAGGTGTGAAGGTTGAGGCCCCCAGCTTGTGAGCATCACCATGATAGGGACCTACCCTTGGCTCTCTCTCCCTGCAGCCTCCAGGTGTCGCCATGAACCTCACGCCCCTGGTGGCCGGCGGGCCAGCAGCAGCAACAGCAGCTTCCTGAAATCATATATCGCCGTGATATAGCGTACTCACCGTGGAGAATGACGATAGCGCTAGGGACAGGAGGAAGAACAGTGCCGAACGCCCCCATCTTGCTGTTGGTTGATACCGGGACGGTGGGTCGGGTTCCATGATGAAACACCTGATTTTCTAGTACGTTTACGGTATTCAGCGTCCACAGAATGGTGTCTGATAACTATACACTACAGTACCCAAGTCCATAACATCAGTTCTTGGTTAACAATTACTTCTCTTCCGCTAGAGCAAGCGTCAAAACACACAATGAAGCAGACACACCAACGTGCACCCTCTCTCAAAGGCAGCACGAGCACTACTGACTGCGCACGCGTCTTGACGTCACATAAACGTCATTGCTCACGCATGTCATTGCCACCTACCGATACTCCTTTCTCTTTCTCTATTTCCTAATATATCCAAATACACATATACATAGATATATCTGCTATATACTTAACTCATTTTACCCGAAACGGTTAGGATGTATATTCAATTTAGACTATAATATGAGAGGTAAGATAAAAGTTGTGGAATAGTAGAGTGGAGGCATCAGCGAGGGTGTGAAGTAATGACTCACGCAACACAGCGAGAAAAACAAATACACTAGCGATAAACTGCTGAACGAAATAACATAACACGGGTTTAATAATACTATTGGCATATATTATTTGCAATAGTCTGTAATGTACATATTTAAGTAATCTTAGAATGGCAAAAAATATATAAAATGTCTTTAAAAGTTGATTATATCAGCATGGTCACTGTCATATATGGAAACTATATAAAGTGATCATTTAATTTAACCTTAATATTTAAGTCGAAAACAGAACTAGAACATTTAGATAGAGTGAAAACGGTGCTCACAATACTAGAGAGAACGCTCCCTGCAGCGCTGCCGGACGCCATTTATTGTTGTAACCAAACTGTTAGGTTATCCCAGACTTGTAGTAATTGGTTCACCACAAATACAATACGCTGTGGGGGTAAAGAACATTTGATGTCCACTTCCTAAATCTATTTTTCATCTGTAAAGTTTCATCCACCTCACAGGATGGCTGTGAGATCCATAATTAACTATAATTAAGTTATTCTTGTTTAATTAGATGTTACAATGAGAGATGAGCCCATACTAGTGGCTGCCAGGTTTAGTGATGACCCACCGAGCTGGTCAAGGTGGCTGGCTGTAGACGCGCTTTGGCTGCTCCTTCAATTAACCTGCCGGGCTCAAAGGTCAGAGGTCGCCGGTTGCTGGCCTCCCGGAATCTGCGTCTCTTATAACCTTATAATGAAACCTACCATACAAACGACAACTCGCCTTATTAAAACATACATACATATATATATATATATATATATATATATATATATATATATATATATATATATATATATATATGTATATATATATATGTATATATATATGTATATATATATATGTATATATATATATGTATATATATATGTATATATATAAATGTATATATATATATATGTATATGTATATATGTATATATATATATATATGTATATATATGTATATATATGTATATATATGCATATATATATGTATATATATATGTATATATACATATATATATATATATATATATATATATATATATATATATATATATATATATATGTATGTATATATATATTCATATATATTCATATATTCATCATATATATTCATATATGTATATATATTTGTGAATCAAGATTCACAAAATATTCCAAAGACATACATACATGCGCAGGTAATACGAATACAACACATTCTGTAAAACAGCGTAAATTATGGATATTCTGGTGAAATACGACCCCCCTGCAGGCACCAATGAGCGCGTCCCTTTCAGGTGACGTCAACTGGGGAGGCGTCACCCAGGAGAGAGACAGGCACAGGTCCGTCGCCTCTCCGTCTATCACAATTTCTGTTCAGTGTTCAATCCCCGACTGTCCAAGTGGTTGAGCACCATTCCTTTCCCCTCGTCCCATCCCAAATCCTTATCCTGACTCCTTCCCAGTGCCATATATGTAAGGGCTTGGTGCTTTCCCCGGATAGTTCAATTCAGTGTAGTACCTTATTCCTTGTCTCTGTAGGATAGACGAAACCTTATATATATATATGCTGGTTAGCATTGTAAAAAAAAGTACTTCAGTCATTTTTGTGGTTAAATGTTCAATAGGGTTCTCAGTAGTACAAATAATCTGTTATGCATATGCATAGATAGTACAGTCGGGCTCGTTCTCGACTCTATCCGGATTTCTGAGTTCGAATCCTGGGTGGGACAGAAAAGGTTGGGCGCGTTTCCTATCACCTAATACCTCCGTTCACCTAGCTATAAATAGGCACCCAGGTGTTAGGTTGTTGTGGGTTTGCATCGTGACAGTCAGTGCTGAAAAGCTTTAAATATATAACTCACATGTAAATGTGTTATGCCCAATCTCGTCACACTTCTAGCAAGAACTCAAACACAAACAAAACCAATTAATATTTATTATAACAATCATCATTATCTTGTAATAAGGATAACCAGTTTTTCCTGTGTATTCAAATTAACATTATAAATTGCAAGTAAAATCATTAAATTAGACATGTACTCATAAGAGTATATATTATCCACAGTGGTATAACAATATAATAAAAGAGTAACATTTTACCTACAAGGGAAAAATATTCGAGAGGAGAAACTAATCTTCCCAGCAAGTCCTCTTCGGGATCGCCATAGCCCGTGTGGAATTTTTGTTCCGAGTAGCTGAATTTTACTTCATTTTGCAATGAAAGTAATCAGATTAAAACTAAATTCTAGTTGGCATCTCTCAGTAACCCCGTTATTTTATTCGCAGTCATAGATGAAAAAAAATTACTTGATAGTTGTCTAATTTTTTGTAAACGCTCAGAATATGACTAAAGAAATAGGCATTCTTATAGTAATACAAAAATTAACAAGGGAGGAAAAAAAGTTCTATTACTCCAAGACTCATAATAAGTCGTGACAGGCTACCAAGAAGGACTTAGAACCGTCTCTCAGATCACAAAACTACTCAGTGCTCGTGCTCAACGTGATCTTTGATTTGCCTGTCAGCCACCAGGTCGTGCTCCTAAAGTCTCCCAACGTCAAGAAAATGGTCAATGTAAAGTGTCCTTTCCTAACCTACCAGAGGACCCACAACAGAAAACGGGACAGTAGGTCACTTTCGTGAGCCACTTACATATTCTAGTACGACAAATTTTGGCCGTATGTAACACATACGAGCCAAAAGCGACGTTCTTTGTCAGGCTACGACAGCCACAGCCTTCCCGAATAATAGCGCCTGATGTGCGTGCGTTAATAAACGTTCTGAATGTTTTTCTTAAATATGAAAATATGCATTTCATGCGAGCTAGAAGAGCAAACAAGTTACAAAATATAAAACTAAAGCTAACATGGTACAGTACTAACGACTGAGCAGCGAGGCGGTCAAGAGGACAATTACCCAATATAACGCGTCTCAGCTCCCCTGGATAACAGCTCCACACAATTCTAATGGAAGAGAAGATAACGTGCGTCACCATTCCTTGCGATCCTCCTCCTCCTCTTGTCCTCCAATAAAACCATTTGCATGTTGAGTGAGTACTGCAAGGCTACAAGGAGGAGCTGCCATTACCTGCTTCACTGCCTCTAGTGTGAGACGGGAGAGGAACCTTCACTATCAACCACTGAATTTACATTAGAAAATGCAAAACATTTCCACCGACTTGATGTAAATAAACAAACAAGCTATTAACAACCGGTTACATAGTGTGTAAGCAGCCTCTAGTAGAAAACCAAATCACACACGTGTACACAACGCAGGAATGTAATCTTATCAGCGACCTGCTTACATAAACAGCGACTCATTGACGTGATTGATACATTCCCAACAGATTACGATTGCAAGACAGTGTCATCTTCGTCAGAAATCAAATTCGCCCGTAACGCTTGTTTGGTATTAGGCTTAAGGCCCAAGACCCGGATTCATAAAGCAGTTACGCAAGCTCTTACAAACCTGTACATCTTTCTCAATCTTTGGCGGCTTTGTTTACAATTATTAAACAGTTAATGAGTTCCGAAGCACCAGGAGGCTGTTTATAACAATAACAACAGTTGATTGGGAAGTTTTCATGCTTGTAATCTGTTTAATGTAACCAAAGCCGTCAAAGATTGAGGAAAGATGTACTCATTCGTTAGTACTTGCGTAACTGCTTCGTGAATCTGGCCCAAACACCCCATTAAGGGTTAACAAGCTGACTACAATTGTTGACCAACTAGCAGAAGTACTTCAGTCTTGAACATGGACTAAAGTCAACTCTAAGTATCTGAAATCTTTGCACTGTATCCATATTTCACCTCAAGTAGATAAATGACATACAAGATTATAAATAGGCTGTGATGTGTAATCAGCATCTATGATCTTTTTAATATCTCCATATCTAAAATATTTTGTGCATCAGCAAAAATACCTATACCGTTTATATATAACTGATTGAGAACATTTACTACAATGCCGTAGTGCATGAAGGTGAAGGAAAGACCCAATATATATGTTAAAGCATTAAAACACTTTCAGACATATTTCTTCTTTCCAACGCCTTCAAAAATGTATTGTAAACTCATAATGTCGAGGGGACAGGTAGCCAATATATATAAATAAATAAATATATATATATATATATATATATATATATATATATATATATATATATATATATATATATATATATATATATATATATATATATATATGTTAGTTTTATATCCATACATGTTACTCAATCTTTATATCTCTCTCTCTCTCTCTCTCTCTCTCTCTCTCTCTCTCTCTCTCTCTCTCTCTCTCTCTCTCTTTTCTTCATGCTTGCTTAGCTTCATCTGTCTAGTGTTTCTTGAGAGGAGTGAGTGTGTTACCACGACCAGGATAAAACTCAAGAGATTGGCGCTGGCTCCCTGATGACTTAGTTTTTTTCTTGCTCGTGTTGCTTGAGTAATTCCTGTCGTGCTTTTTTTTATTTTGCTTTCTTTGGTGTTTCTTTCTCTTGGAGACAAGATTTGTTGTGATTTATACTCTTGTATGGGTTATTACTTGTGTTTGCTGCTTATTGTTTGCATCAGTATTGTGTTTAATATATATATATATATATATATATATATATATATATATATATATATATATATATATATATATATATATATATATATATATATATATATATATATATATATATATATATATATATGTCGTACCTAGTAGCCAGAACGCACTTCTCAGCCTACTATGCAAGGCCCGATTTGCCT